TCTCCCTTTACTCCTCATCATTGCAGGATCCATAGGCAGCTGCTGAGCCATTTCACTTCACATTATCTCCAACTGGACCTCTGCTTCTGGGAACAGTACAGTAACACCCTTTGCAATTCTAAAAATCAGTATCTGCTACTACCTTTTATATTTCTAATTCTTGTATGTGTGTGTGTCAGTGTGTGTTTTTGTGTGAAAGTTGATTTCCCCTATTGTTGTTATAAATAAAACTACATTTGGAACTTACATTCTGGAAGTTCAGTTTTTTGGAACTGTTATACACAGGTCTGACCCCGGGCTTTTAGTTACCCAAAGCCCTTTTGAAGCTGTCATCTGAGCTAATTAAATCCCCCCTTTATATATTTATTGCTGTGAGTGTCTTCCTGGGACCCTTGATTTTTGGGCAACAAGATAATCTTACATATTTAACAATTTATTTATTTATTGAATGTATAACTCGCCTTTGTCCCGGGGTGGGATCCAAGGTGGTCACGAGTCAACTTAAAATAGAAACAGATGACCTATGCTTCCTTTCCCCATGAGCCCTGCTAAACTGTCCTTGTCTACTTCGTAGTGTAGTGGATTGGGAACACAGGCAATCCACAGTTCTGTGACATTTTCAGAGCAAGAATGATGATGAGCCATGCAAATTACAAGGGGCTAATGATGGATCTTCCTTGATGACTGAGGGCCTCAGCAGACGGAGGCCCCGGAGACGCCGCCAGACGGAGCGCTGCGGGACCACAGCCTCCACACCGCGGCTCTCCTGCGGCGTATCTAAAAGGAGCTCCAAATTGGCGCTCCTTTTAGATTTCAGGGAAAGTGCGCCCTAAAAGCGGCGGGTGCACTTTCCCTGACTCTTCCGCCGCGGCGTGTCCGGTCGCCGCGGCGTGAGGTCATCCCCGGAGCGCTGGCCGTGCGGAGGGCCAGCGACTCCAAGGGCGACCTCAGGGAGAGGAAGGGGCGCCGCTCGTGCAGCTGCCCCTCCTCTTCCGGGCCTTCAAGACGGCTCAATTAGCCGTCTGCCGAGGCCCACAGATACTAACAGGGTTTTCAAGCTTTTCTACTGTTTGTGACACAAAATCATAAAAATAATGAAGCAGAGGTGGGATATGTCTTTCCTTCTTTTTGATGAAGTTCATCCTTTATGTGTGTAGTTGAAGTACTTGTTTAGAAAGATTGTCTGCATTTCTAATTAGAAGCCAAAGGCTGCATTTCATCTAGCTGAAGGTCTTTTGTTGAAGCTTAACATGTTTGGCAGGTTGAAGCACTGCTGTCAAAAGGATGCATGCACCCACGGAGTTCAGTGGAGCTATCTCCCAGGTAATTGTCCATAGGATTACAACCAATGAACCATAACATTAACTCTCAAATCTTATTTGTGGTTTGCTCATTTGTTTTGGATGTCTGTATTATGAAGACGTTAACCAGGGTATTAGCTCCTTTGACTACCAACAGCAGAAAACCAGGAATGTATGACCATAGATTTTCCTTGGGAAATGGCTACAGGGGTTGTCAGGATCGTAGAATCATAGAATCTGAGATCTTTTATCGCACAAGCCTTTTAAATCAGAATTAAAGCTGGATAATAGTGCCTTTGGCGATACTTATCACATGATGTTGCCTCCAAATCATTGCTGCTGTGCTTCTAAAGTGTGGTTAGGATATCTCTTGTCATTGATGGGAACACCCATCGATAAGCTCCCAATTGTGCTGTTGTGGGATTAGTTGTATGGTGTGATAAATTTCTCCAGCTGCATTCCCAAGACTGGGCAGTCATGTACTCTCTACGTCTCCTCCTTCTCTCTCCCTCTCCCCCTTGATATCTCCAAACAGGCTGGCTTTCTTTCCCTCCACTACTCTCTTTCTTTCTTTCTTTCTTTCTTTCTTTCTTTCTTTCTTTCTTTCTTTCTTTCTTTCTTTCTTTCTTTCTTTCTTTCTTCTTTGTTTCACTAAATCACATTGCTACAATTGCTAAATTGTGTTACCAATAAAAAAAAATTTAAAAAAATTGCTGGGTAGGGCAATAGAGTAGGAAGGCAGGGATAAAAGGCAGTCCAGAAGAGGGCCAAAGGAGCATCAATGGCTGAAACAGCCCCAGTCTCGCCACTGAAGGAACGTGTGATACTGAGCGATCCCAAACTGATATGTATCCATTTACACAATTGCAGAACGTGCATTAGTGAGTGATCCCAAACCAATATGTATTAATTTACTTTTGCTAATGTGATCATGGTGAGAACAGGGCTTGTGTGATAATGTCCTTAGAGTTGGAAGAGACTGCAAGGGCCACCCAGTCCAAGCCCCCACCATGTAGGAATACACAACTAAAGCATTTCTGAAAGATGCCCAACCTCTGTTTAAAGACCTCCAAAGAAGGAGAGTCTGTCACCCTCCATGACAGTTGAACAGCTCTTATGGTAAAGACGTTCTTCCTAATGTTTAGGTGGCAAAGCTAACTGGAGAATCTGGGGTACTGTAGTCCAAAAAGGTAGGATCTTCAGGCTCTGCTCAGGGCTGACTAATGCTGCATCCACACTGCAGAAAAAATCCAGTTTGACACTACTGTTAACTGTCATGGTTCAATTTTATGGAATTCTGGGATTTGTAGTTTTGTGAGACGTTTAGCATTCTCTGTCGGAGAGTTTTGGTGCCACAACAAACTACAGTTCCTAGAATCGTATAGCATTGAGCCATTGCAGTTAAAGTGGTGTCAAACTGGATTATTTCTGCAGTGCAGATGCTGCCTAAGTTTCTCCAAGGAATTCTGGAGTTTGGAGAGGTCCAGTATAGAATTACACTTCCCATATGTCTCTGGGGGAAGCCTTCCTATTTTTAAGTTGGTTTCAAATTGCAATACAGGAAATTGTGGATGTTACCTGAGAGAGAGTATTCCCCTTTGTTACTCTCGCTGTCCCGGACGAGGAAGGATCCATGGCGGTTGGGCGGTGAGAGGAGAAGGAGACTGGCTTTGTTCCGGCTGATCTCACTTATGTACCAACTGAATGAGAAAATGATAGAAATGAGCTGACGGAGAGGATTCCTTAGCAAGATAGGCCAAACTTTTGCATATCTTCAGAAACAGGACAAGAAAGATATCTTCATTTTTGGTTGAACAATCCATGCAGCACCTGCCTCCTCAATCTGGACCCACTTAGGCACATTTTTAATAATAGGTAACATACCCACCAATATTTCACAGATGAAAACTGGGATACCTGTGGTCAAGTAACATGAAAGTGTGGTCAAGATGGCAAAAATAAATAAATAAATAAATAAAATCAATCTAAGAAATGCTGCAATACACTCGCCCCTTCATTCTCGCAGACTTGAGGTCTGCGGTTTTGAATATTCATGGAGGAGTTTAAATCAATGGGGCGCTCCCCATTCAAGCCTATGTGGCTTGAATATTGACAAGTTTCCGTTTTCACGGGTGGTGGTGGTCCAGAACAGATCCCCCTGCAAATACGGAGGGCCCACTGTAGTTGCTTTTGTTTGAGCCTACTGGGAAGGACAAAACTCTCTACTCCTCCTGCTGAGTTGAGTGCAAACTACTCTTGCTTTTTGAATTCAGTCTACAGCAACTGAAGTAAGCAGAGGACAGAGGGGTAAAGTGGGAGGAGGAGAGAGAAACTGGGACATTTTAAAAGCAGCTGAAAAACTGGGTTGACAGTGGATTAATCAGGACTTTCCCTACCAAATCAGGACAATTGGATAATATGAAGAGCCAGCCTTGCCATTAGGCAGAATGAGGTGGATGCCTCAGGCAACAACTTCCAGGTGTTATGCAAGAACAGCAAAAAGTTAATTATTTAATTTATGATCTACTCATAAGCACAGAAAACACTCCTGACATGGTGGACATGCTCTCCTCTGCCTTGTATGTGACATATTTTCTGCTTTGCACGTCAAATATTTTGGCTGGCTTTCATTTGTTGTTGCTGCATACCTCCAAGACATTTTTTTGCTTATGGTGATCCTAAGGTTGACCTGTCCTAGGGTTTTCTTGGCAAGTTTCTTCAGAGGGGGATTGCCATTGCCATCCTCTGAGGCTGAGAGAGTGTGCCTTGCCCAAGGTCACCCAGTGGGTTTTTATGCTTGAACTGGGAGTTGAACCCTATATACTAACTGTAGCTTTTCTTGCCACTAGAATACTGTGTCTGAGTTGGTTGATCTATCATGAATTCCGGTAGGGGTGATCCTTTGGCTGCTCTGCCTCAGACAGCAAAATGTCTTGGGCTGGTTTGTTCTAACAGGACATGTCACAGATGGGGGGGGGAACATATGTTGCTGATGTTTTCAGGATCGCAACCTCTGGTTGTGGTCCCACTAAAGAACTTCTTATTTTCCTTGGGACATAGATTGGAAGTCTAAGAGCCTTGTGATAGAAATGTGATTTGATGTAGCAGTGGTAAATAGCATTATTTCCTCAGTTTTCAAAGAAATAGTGACAACAGTCTGTTCTGGTGTAAAAAGGAAGGGACAGGGGGTGAGGGAATATATGTGATACCTTTGGGACTAACACCATTGTTTTCACTTTTGTGGATTACAGTCCACTGGTCGCTAGGTCTCAGGTTTGGCCTTGTAAGGACAAGGCCTGGGATAGTCTTCGCCTTTGCAATCCCAGTAAACCCAGTAATTTAAAATATGCAATGGTATACAGAATATACAAAGTTAAAACAAAATGATATTGCATACAATAGCAAATAATGTTATGGACAACAGCATAAAAGAATTTTAAAATTGCCTCCACAATGAATCTTCCTGACAATTTGTGCCAAACAGATAAAATTGTGTTATTTTCTCTTTAACCTCACATTTCATATTCAGGGGCATGATGCCACTGAATGCCATTTTGGCATGGGGGAGGCATAGCTGGCCTTTGCCAACTGACCTTGCATGCTGCACAAAGGGCTTTTAATTGGATTGATGCTGAACTTGTTACACTTTAAAACTGTACTTCCAAACTTTTGGTACTTTTTATTCATTTTATGTAGTGAGCCAGTGTGGTGTAGTGGTTTGAGTGTTGGACTAAGTTTCTGGAGACCAGGGTTCGATTCCAAGCTCAGCCATGAAACCCTCTGGGTGACCTTGGGTAAGTCACACACTCTCAGCCACAGGGGAAGTCTATGGCAATTCCCCTCTAACCAAAACCTGCCGAGAAAACCCTATGATAGGGTCGCCTTAGGCTCATCATACATTGGAAATGACTTGAAGGCACAAAACAACAACAAAGAACAATGCTTTAATTGCCTATGCTCTATTTGATGTTAAGTTACCTTGCATCCCATTCTTGGGAGATGAGATTTTAAAATGAATGAATAAATAAGCTTGTGGCTTCCTGAAAGTGTCTAGTTGCCCAGTATGGAAATATAATGCAGGAAGAACTAGATATTGCATTAGCCTGGCTACTGATCCAGCAGATCTTTGAGTAACTATTTGGAGAACCAGCTCCTTGAATGTACTTCTCAATATCGATCCTGTGTTTTTCCCAACCAACAGGTGATGGAATAGCTTGGACCAAGCAACTTTGAATGGAGAAACAGTAGGCAGGAAGGGGCACGAAGTAGGTCTTTCCTATCCCTACCCTCAGCTCCATAGCCTCTTGTTTATTCCCATTGCATATCAGAATAAACTTTATCAAGAGGACAGGAACGGAATGCAAAATGAACTTGACAGATTGGAGAGCTGGGTCAAAAACCAACAAAATAAAATAAAACTGGGATAAATGTAAGGTACTACACCTAAGAAGGAAAAAGGACAGCATAGGGGACACCCAGCTTGAAAGTACGTAATGCATGTAGAAAGGACTCAAGCGTCATAGTAGATCATAAACTGAACATGAGTCTACACAGGAGTAGGTAAGTTGGGGCCCACGGACCATATGTAGCCCTCAGCGCTGATTTTGTGGCCCCTCAAAGGTT